CGGTTCCCGCTAAGGGCATGTACCTCGGTTGCAGTTTGTCCCCGGCCCCAGTTGGGGTCATGTGGGTGGCAGCCACTCGATGTGTCTCTCACATCAATGTTTCTCTCTCTCCCCACCCCCCATCTCTCCCTCCTGCTCTATCTGAAGATAAATGCGCACACACACACACACACACACACACACACACACAAATAGCCCAAAGTTTAATTTGTGGCATCTGTTCCTTTTCTGTGTTTGACGTTTCTACCATATTGACCTGGAGCCAAAGTCGGCTGCTACATAACCACAAGCACAGTTTTTTTGGGTTTTGCACAGTATTAGCAGTATTGGTTCTCCGTTTAAAATAAAACTTAAACATGAAAGTTATTTTTACACCTACACATGCAAACCGTCTTATGCACGTACTTTCAGATTTGCCGCCGAGAATCATGAAAGTACTCACACTAGTGAGCATTTATACTTGGACTGGGCTACGGACAGTAGACTCGAGAACCTTGATTCAGTTCACAAACAGTAATTCAAGAGCCTACTACATGGAAGGTGCTACGCTAGGTATCAGAAGGAGGTACAGAGTTCGGCTTCCCCGAGTATCGGGTCGTGGTTTGTCGTTGCCAACCGGTGCATCGGAACATTAAGGACGTTGTTGTTATTGGTGATTTCGGTAGGGGTTGACCTCGTGTGGACACCTGGACGGTGTAAGTGGAATTCCTGCATTTAACCAGAGATGGGAATGGGGGGACCTCGACATTCTTTTCCCACGAATGGAGGCTCTTCAGAATAGGCTCTGCCTGGTTTCCTCGAACTGCAGCTGGTGGTTAAGACAGATGGAAACACCACCTACAGTCCCTACGCTTGTGACGGCGGCATCCCATTAAGAACGGAGCCCTGGACATTGACTGTGTCACCCGGTTTGATTTCTTACCCACGAGCCTTTGCTCAGGGTAACGCGTCCTCTCTGTCCTCTCCCCCGGAGGCCGAGAAGAGGGCTCCCCTCACAGAGCTGCAACCGATATTAGATCAATTAGTATCAAAGAGCTCTGAGCACAGCCACTGGTGTGCAATGAACCCACAATAAATGTAGAAAACGGAAAATAAGACATTTCAGTTGAAAAAGCATAGACAATTATATTCTATAATATGAGCATTTACAGGGTGTAATGATAGCATATGTTATCAACTATGAATCCTGGATATGCTTAAATTAAAAAGAAAAAATCATGTCAGTATTGGCCACTCATGATACGAAGGTAAAAACAAAATTGAAGAAGAAAAGTGTATTAGAGTCCCTGGCCTGTGTGTGAACCAGGGCTATTTTTGAATGACTAAATGTAGAATACTTAACACATATTTATCAAATGTCTTTCTTAATTTGGAATAAACACCACAGAGAGTCTGAGACACAAACTGAACTCCTTGGACTTTTCTAATATTCCAGGATACGTTGTGGGTTTCTTTTGTAACAATTCCCCAAGGCTTTTTAGCTTCCCTTATGAAATATCTCTGGTCTCTCCCTCTTAACCTACACTATGAATCTCTTGTAATAAATATGAATACCATTGGTCCTATTCACGAGCTATTTGAAAGAAAGAGCCCACACCAAAGGTGGAGAAACAGACAAACGAAAGATAGTAAAATGGACACATTAATGATAAAATTACAGGCGGTAAAACTGCATTTGAATGTGTGCTTTGACCTATTATTTTTGACTCGTGGACATGTGTATCATCAAGTCCTGTGAAGGTAAGAAAATAATACATTGTTTCAGATGAAGGACACTTATAGACTCTGTTGCCACATTTCCATCAATGAATGCTTGAACCCTCTCACAGCTGTAAGACGTATCTAATAACACCCATTACAAAGTCCTCCACCAAGTATTTCCTATTCGAGTGCCCAGTTTCATAACTTTTATTTGAGATAACATTAGGAATAACGGGCCTTCACCACTTGAATGAGGTCCCAGGCCACCTGAAATCAAACCCACAGGAGTGAAATCGATCCAGAGGGTTACATAGTATCCCCCTCTTCCCAGCATCAGCTCCTTTAGTATTTACAGCAGAACACGAAGGCATCTCTCCCAAACCCTCTGAGCTAGTGCAGCACAAGGGGTGCGTTTCTGAGTCAGGACAAGTTAACAATGGGCTGCTGTGGGGCTCAGCAGTGTAGACAGAGACTCCCCGTATTTCTGACAGTGTTCTTGCGGGTTCTGTTTGGTCTTTCTAGACACCGGCCTCTGTCCTGCCAGGACATGGAGGGATTTTCATCCCCATCTCCCTACTCATGCGCTAGCTACTCATGTATTTACCACACGAAGATTATCGTGACACCCTTCTGTGCCATCTCTTAAGAGTCAGACCTTTTCCCATAAAATACTGAAGAAGAAAAAAATGACCCAGTAAAATAAATGTCCCCAAGACATAATTATAATAATTCAGAAAATATTATCTCCATAGTAAAAGGAAAGGATTTAGTTAATTTGGAATGCATGAAAAAGGCACATATACACTCACAGAATGGAGTTGGCATGGTGTGTAAACACAATGGAATATTACTCAGCCATGAAAAAGAAGGAAATCTGGCCATTTTTGACGATGTGAATGGACCTAGGTGTACTATGCTAGATGAAATAAGTCAGACAAATATCATATGATTTCCTTTATATGTAATATCTAAAAACAACACAAATGAACAAGCAGAAGAAAAACACACTCATAGATACAGAGAGCAAATTGGTGGTCAATGGGGGTGGGGAGAAGGCTGAAAAAGGGTGAAGAGATTAAAAAAGCACAAATTTCCAGTAATGAAAAGAGCTTCAGTGATGTAAAGCACAGAACAGAGAATACAGTCAATACTATTATAGTAACTATACATGGTGTTGGATGTGTACTAGATTTATTGGGGTGATGGTTTTGTAAGCTATAGAAATGTCTCATCACTATGTTGTACATCTGAAACTAAGATAATATTGTACATCAACTGTCATTGGAAAATAAAATTTAAAAAGTTACATTTATTTGTTTTTATCCTCACCGGAGGACATTTTTCTATTTGTTCAGATAGAGTGGGAGGGAGGGAGAGAGAGAGAAACATCAACATGAAAGGGACACATTGAATGGTTGCCACCCACACGACCCCAACTGGGGCCAAAGACAAACTGCAACCGAGGTACGTGCCCTTAGTGGGAATCGAACCCGGATCTCTCTGAATCTCAGGCTGATGCTCTAACCCCTGAGCCAAACCAGCCAGGGCTAAAATGTTACATTTATTAAAACCATTTATCTCAAGAAAATGGGAATTCATTTACAACAAAAGTTACTGTTTCCAATGTGACTATATTCTGTGATATATTCTGTGATATTTTGTTCCCAGATGCGTATTTGATCAATATATTTTTACTCTTAGGAATAATGAAGTCAATAAGGAGAACAATACTCCATTCATATTACCATATTACCGTGCAATCAAGCAAATGATAACAGACTGAAGTATTATTTTGCAAATAGCTGAATGACATAGTAACTCACTACAAAGCACAGTCTTTGTGAGACAAACTTCAGATTGTAAATAATTGAAGGGAAACCACCACTTTGTATTAACTTTTGCAATCTTCCTAAATCTACTATTATAAACTCAACACCACTGCATTTACTCAGGTAAATGTTATGTAAAATTAATCTTAAATAGAAAGGGAAAGGATGCTTTCATAAACTGTTTTGTACTCTTTGGAAAACACCTTGAGTTTTTGTTACATTCAGTAAAAAGACAAAGCTCATGATATGTTCTCCAGCTGTATTTTGCTGTCAAGATGCTTGTCTATCTTTTCTCAGATCTTTGTGTCAGAAGGATTTATTGAAAATAATGTATTCTTAGCTTCCAGAGATTAGAAATCGTTTATTTTTTTAGTTTCTTTCAGAGAGGTTGTGTGTAACTTGAAAGGAGTTTTAAACTATTGGTGATTCTTCGATGCCACCTCCATTCAAAAGTACACAACTCCCAAATCCTTTCTCTCCGAAGGGGTACCAACCATGGAGAGACCAAGAAAAGGTGATAAATCAGTCCTTCAGAAAGGCATCTGAACTCAGCTATTGTTCATTCACAAATAGATTCAAATGTTATTTACGTAAGAAACTCAAGAAATGTACAAGTATTAGAAAAAGTCTCTCCACCAGTATTTCATGAATTAATAACTAATTTAGAGTCTGTGATAGAATCTAAGCTTTGCTGTCTCATGCCCTACTTTTTTAAGTGGCAACTATTGTCAAGACAAAAAATAGAACAACACGGTAAATAGACCAGTTTGACAAATTCACTCAGTTATGGGGTTTTGATACTTCCCAAAACACAACACAATTCTCTCTTTCGTTCCAGAAACAGAATAGGAAAATAATATGTACAATAAGATGGCCTATCTTAAGAGTGAAACATTTTTACAAAATCAAATATTTAACCAAAGTATCTATTTTAAAACCTTCCCACCCTGGCCAGTTTGGCTCAGGGGTTGGAGCATCGGCCTGCAGACCAGAGAGTCCCGGGTTCGTTCCGCTAGGGGCACGTACCAAACAAACAAAACAAAACAAAACAACCTTCTCATAATTAAATGGCTTGTGACGGCCTGAGCACTTAAGAGAGAAAAATGCATTCAGTAAATGGCTAAACAGACACTGACAACTTCATTGTCATTAAAAATGTGCAAGAAGATTTTAGAATGTCAACTTTTCAAACAGATCGCCAAGCTGATGTCCAGGAAGTTGACCATGTGAGCTCAAAGTCCGGCTGCAGAGGTAAGTGGTCAAATAGGCAGGATGCAATACATCACCACGGCGGTGATCATCAGGTATTGTTTAACATCCAGCTTTGCCATTCGAATTATTTTCCCCATTTGCGGGAGGCATTCGCCCGAGGGCTGAGTTTATTTAGGGCGGACAGGAACGCTGTGTGTGTGTGTGTTCTGTTAAGTGGCTCCGCTCCCAGCCGGTTGACTAGGTGTAAAATGGCCTTACCTTTGGCTTCTGATGTTTCTCCTTCTCGGACGCGTTGGACGGCTTTCTTTTCAGCATTTTGAATTCAGACGAGTCCCAGCAGTGCCCTGTCCGTGGTCACAGCGCAGACTGAGGGCCACCAGCCTGTCTGTCTGTGACACGCTGCAGGCAGTCGGAGCCCTGTGACCACCACTTCCTCCTTCGGTGGGGCTGTGACTTCACGTGGACCCGGGGGAGGCTCTGTGGCTTTTTTTTTTTTTTTTTTTAGTTACTCTTTGGTAACTTTTGAGCGCTCTGTGTCTTCCACACGCTGTGGGGCGTGGGGTGAATTCCCGAGTTTCACGTTGGACACGCTGGGGGGCCGGCATCGGCTTCGTGAAGATTTCAAAATAAAGCTCATTTTTTAAGTTTAGCTCACATAAAAAATAAACCTCGATGACACCGGCTGCGGGTGGAGGGAGGAACGCATCGCAGGCGGTGAACTCGAGCGGCGGGCACGCCGGTGTGAGGCACGGAGGCCACGCAGGTTGGCGGTTCTAAGTGAACGTGGTCAGAAGGTGGAACCTGGGGGACCCGACACGATGCTGATGCTGTTTAAGGCAACACCTGCATTTACAAAGGGGGGGTGTCGCCCTGGCCGGTTTGGCTCAGCGGTTGAGCGTTGGGCTGCGGACCAGAGAGTCCTGGGTTCGGTTCCCGCGAGGGGCACGTACCACAAAATAACTAACTAAATAAAAAGCAGGGAAAGGGTGGCATTCGTACACATGTAAAGGGGAACTGGAGCCCAGAGTAAGCCCTGGTTGCTGTGGAAACCAGTCAGCAGCCCTGAGCTGAGCGACGTCTGTACCAGGGTGCCGCGCGGTGGTCACTGCTGGCCCAGGCTCACCCAGGGGGTCAATGGCACCTCCAGCGAAGCATCCGGAACCCCTCTTTAACGGGGCTGGAACAGCTCACAGGGCTTTGAAAGGCTGTCCTCTGCGACCGCAGGTTTGGCATTTCTGTTAGAATGTCAGCACCCAGATACCAGGAAGTAAGAGCGAGAGCCTCGTGTTTCCGTGCCGACTGGGGACTCACCGCAGGGAGCGTGTGGGCCCTGAAGCCCCAGTTCTGTGAACTCAGGGCTGTCGTGGAAATCCACCCAGAGCTCTGTGCACAAGCCCCCGGGGGGAGAGGCGGGGAGCGTACCCCTTCCCCTGCCCAGTCCTGGTGCTCGGCGGGCCCTGCCGGTGTCTCGGCCGCTGACCCGAGTGTCTGTGCCGTGCTGTGCACAGGACCCCAAGCCTCGGGACCGGCTAAAACACTGCGTTTGTTACCCGATAGAACGAAGGGATGCCCGTGTCCGGTGACGGCGGACGTGCGCCCAGTGGTACCGAGAGCAGGGTTCTGCCCTCCGGAAGTGGCAGGCCCGTGTGTGCACAGCGATGGCACAGAGGGGAGCCCCGAAGGACCTCAGGGCTTAGAGGCCGGGGAGCCCCTAGAAGTACACCTTCCTCCAACCTTTCTGTGTGCGTGAAGGGAAGTCTGTGGCCACAACAAATATCTTCTTTCATCTCCAGAAATGAAAAGTCATGACGAAATACGTCTTCACCGAAATAGCTGTGTCCCCACTTCTTCATCGGTGAAGAGTCATTTAAGTCCAGTGGGAGGTCAGTCGACAATGCGGGGATGACAATGCCTGTTCCATGAGAGGGTTACACAAACACCGATACAAACGCACCTGCTCTATGACATCACTGCAGTAATGTTTTATGTCAAGAATTGATTGCAGATCTTAAAGAGGCATGAGATTTCAGATAGTTATGTTTGGGGTGGCTATAGGTTATGTTTCTATAGTGATAATTAAAGTACAGAGACGATAACTGGACTCTATATAGTTTTTAAAAGTATTCCATGTAAGCAGTTTTAATAAAATCCCAATGTATGATCTCTAGGTGTCTTATCAACATGAACACTACCAAGAGCATTGAAAATAGAAACCAAGCTGAAATCTCTTCCTTCAGAATTACAGATGAGAAAAGCAATTTTCCAATTTTCTCCTCAAGAGTAATGCTTTCGGGAGATGAGAAGATATATTACATTTCAGGTCCCATGGCAACCTGTATTTAAGTCCTTGGCCCTCAAAACACATCTCGGGTGACAAGGCAGGCACTGTTTGTATTCTCTAGTTTAGGGAGAGGTTGAATGTGACCCACAGAGACCTAGCAAACTCAGAAGCTTGAGGTGGGCAGGACAGGAGCAGGGTAGAGGCGGGCCTGAGCTCACCGAACTACCTGTCATGATTCAGCCACGAAGCCACACGCTCTGAGGTCATGTTCTGAAACAGGGAAATTGCACAAGAGCCGAGTCTGCATGCTGCGGCTTGACACACACCGTCAAGGTCCTACCCAGGCGGCGTGAAACAGCGCTGGACTCTGCGGCCTCTGTGCAGGTTACCACTTCTGCGTCACCCCGCGTGCGTCAGGACTTCGAAGAAATGACAGGGAAATGATAGCCACCTGGGTGTGTTTTAAGAAAACAAAGTGAGGCCTGGAACAGCTGTGTCGGCAGGGGACACACATGGATTGGTGGATGGCTAAAACCAGTCATCGAATTCCAATCGCTGGCCTCGGAAAAGCGCAGCTACGAGAACGTGCTGTCCGGCGTCTCTGGTTCCGGCCTCTTGATGACCGAGTGACATCACTCCGTCTCTGCTTCCTGCCAGCAAGCTGAATAATAACACTAGATAGCACTGTTTGGGTTTACCCGAGTCTATATGTTATTTCAGGACACGTTTGTTCAATGGGTGGAGAGTTTTCAAACCAAGTCTTTAAAAACGGGACCAGGCTCTCCACACCGCCTTGATTTTTACACCTCCTCCGGCAGACGGACTTGGTCCCAATCAATCTAATACTGCCATGCACTTATGGAGCAGCCACGACAAAAAAGCTATTTCAGTAACTAAAAATCTAAAATACGCCCTGGCCGGTTTGGCTCAGCGGTTAGAGCGTCAGCCTGCGGTCCTGAGAGACCCGGGTTTGGTTCCCGCTAAGGGCACGTACCTCGGTTGCAGTTTGTCCCCGGCCCTGGTTGGTCGTGCAGGTGGCAGCCCCTCGATGTGTCCCTTTCACATCGATGTTTCTCTCTCTCTCTCTGTTCCTCTCTCTCCCTCCCACTCTACCTGAACAAAAATGGAAAAATGTCCTCGGGTGAGGATAAAAAAATAATAATAATAATAAAAAATAAAAAATAAAAAAAAACCTAAAATACTTCTGACCTCACCTCAAAGACATTGTTTTGTTTTTTGTGGTATGTGCCCCTGGCGGGAACTGAACCCAGGACTCTCTGGTCCGCAGGCCGATGCTCAACCGCTGAGCCAAACTGGCCAGGGCTCAAAGACATTGTCGAAGGAGGAACACAGAAAGACGGACATCTCTTAAGAACTCGAAATTAGCCCTGGCCGGTTTGGCTCAGCGGTTAGAGCATCGGCCTGCGGTCCGGAGAGACCCGGGTTCGGTTCCCGCTAAGGGCACGTACTTCGTTTGCAGTTTGTCCCCGGCCCTGGTTGGTCGTGCGGGTGGCAGTCACTCGATGTGTCCCTTTCACATGGATGTTTCTCTCTATCTCTTCCTCTCTCTCCCTCCCACTCTACCTGAACAAAAATGGAAAAATGTCCTCGGGTGAGGATGAAAAAAAAAAAAAATTAAAAAAAAAAAAAAAAGAACTCGAAATCGGAGAACTTATAGTGGTATCATGGAATTCAGTTTTGAAATCGACGTGTAACGTGAGCTAGAATAATTACCTCACAGAAAAAGAGCAGTGTCTTCCATGCAGTTCTCCGGAGCGTAGTCACTTACGGTCAAGCGACGGTGGAGTCAGTAACAAAAGCAACGTACCCCCTAGTCCCTCTCTTCTTTCTGGCCCCTCCAAGCGGGCTTCTCTCTGCAGAACAGGAAACGGGATCTTACAGGAAGGAGTCCAGTGGAGATTCTGTGTTCTTGCCTGTTCGCGGCTCGCTGGAGGTAGAAATGCTACACTGTGACACAACTATAACCCAGCGAATACTCACGGGGCGTAATGAAATTCTACGTTGTTCTTTACTCAAAAATGCAGATGGCAGCTTCAAAGGCACATAGACCCTCCTCCCCAAGTTCCTGAAGCCCCTTCTAACGTCTTGCTAACTGAAAAGCTGTACCGTCTGAGACCTGCTTAAGGGGTCGATGAGCCCATGCTTTGAGGGGAAAACTGGGACGAGAGAAAATCCTGATTCCACCAACAGGGTGGGGGAAGAAAAGGGGAGCTCTTGAGATCTTTTTTTTTTCCCAAAGCCTTGAAATTAAACATTTTTTTTCCCCCAGGGCTTAATTTTCTTTCAGGAACCTGCATCAAGTCTACATAAAAACGTCATGCATTCACTATTGATTTCTGCCTTAGTTTCACTACAGAGTTCTTCCCCTCCCCCCAATTTTTATTAATTTATTTTTGTTACAGATGGTTCTCCTCCCTGCCCCCGAGATACCTTCCTCCCCACCCCCACCCCCCAGCATTGTTGTCTATGTCCATTGGTTAATACATGCATATAAGTTCTTTGGTTTATCGACCCCTCCCCCTGCCCCCCTGCTCTGAGGTCGGTTAGTCTGAACCCTACTCCTTTCTATGTCTCTGGGTCTGTTTTGTTCATCAGCTTGTTTTGTTCATTACATTCCACAAATAAGTGAGATCATGCAGTGTTTGTTTTTCTCTGAGTGGCTTATTTCACTCAGCATAATGTTCTTCAGGTCCCTCCATGCTGCCCCAAAGGATAAGAGATCTCTCTTTCTTACGGCTGCATAGTACTCCATTGTGTACATGTACCACAGCTTTTTTATCCATTCGTCTACTGATGGACACTTGGGCTGTTTCCAGATCTTAGCGACTGTAAATAGTGCTGCTATGAACATAGGGGTACATGTATTCTTTCTGATTGGTGTTTCAGGCTTCTTAGGATAGTTCTCATACATTCACGAACAGTGATAGGGGTAATGCCCAAACCACTTAGGAATGTTGGGGAGGTGGTCATTTTGCCACAAAGAAAAAGGAATGTAACAAAGGCACATACTGATAGTATGTATCCACTCAAGCTATAGAGTTCAAAAAAGAGAGAGCTTCAGTGAACTTTTAATATCTTACTTCTCCTGGCAAGATGATTCATCAGGTGGCGA